TTTAGTGGTCTATCATTCAATTCGTTTAAAAATTCAAAGAACACTGTGCAGCAGTTTAGTTGAGCTCAAAGAACATTGTGCAGTAGTTTATTAATAAATTGCTGAGAAAATTATGTAAATAAATTAATAAAAATCATAGTTTAAATGCATTATTCTTACTATGTTTTTTTTATTTTTAGAATGCCAGAAGTGAATGACTATTTTAAAAAATTTAATGTAAATGATTGGAGTTATGATGAATTTCTCAATTACTCAACAGCTGAAAAATGTAATAAAGATATTTGGATAAAATTCTTGAAAGCAATTAGTAAAAATAAAAACTACCCTGTTAGATGCTATAAAAAAGTGAGTCATATTTTAAATGACTATTTTTCTGTAACTGTTGTTATTCCTTCAAAGCAAAGTACTATTATCTTCAATTTATGGAGCAGTTTACGTAAAAAGACAGAAAATGATAGGTACTTATTGATACATAAAAATGTTTGTTAATTATTCAATTTTCTAATTTTTTTCAAAAAAAGATTTATTAAGAACTATATTTTGGATATTAATCGATTAAACAACTTATTAAAAAATAATGAAATTCATTTTTTGAGCAATTTGTTTCCACCTGCAAATGTAGAATTAGATGAAGAAATCAACAAATATTTAGATAATATATTTTCTATTTTTAAGAGTAAAGAAGTAACACAAATGTGCTCCTTTTTCTTGTTTTGATTCGATAATTTTAACTTATTTATAATAGTATTTAGACTCTTAATGCTGAAAATATATTCGAAGAAGTAGAACTTAAATGAAAATTAGTAAATTTGAGAATTAAAACTTTAAAAGAATGCCAAATTACTTTCATTTTTGATACCGTACAAAAATTGTAATGTATCATACAAATCTTATCATTAAAAAACTTGTAGAATTAATCTAATGATTGGAAAAGCTGACCTTTCAAATTCTCTGATTTATTTAAATAATAAATTGAATTAGTCTTAAAAAATTCTGAAGGGAAGATTTTTTTTCATTAAAAATGTCTGAATTAAAATTTTGTACAGAGATTTTAGAATCATGCATCGATAAATTGGCAGATATCGATGGTTCTTATACTAGTCGGTAAGTAATGTATATTCTATTTCTCTGCAATTATATCAGAAATTATATCAAAATTTTGTTATAGAGATTCAGCATCAATATCATCAAAACATAATAAACTCCAAAATTCTCAAGATTCCACAAACAGAACTAGACCAGATTTTACTGTGCAAAATTATTCGAATTATGAAATATTCACTTTAGAGGTTGCAGGAAGCCCGACAAATAATATTCAGAAAAATATCAAAACTGATTTTGCCAAATTAAGTAGACAAATACAAAATAATATAAATTATATTGTTGCTCAAAAGAGAAAAAAGGGATGTTCATTACCTTAAAATTTTCAAATCTTTGGAGCATTAATAGAAGGGTTTGACATTGTGATTAAAAGAATAATATCTATTGATCGATATGTTGTAATACAAGAAATCTTCACGATTAAAGTTCCGTCCTGTAATACAGATTATTATAAGCTTAAAATTTTAATTAGCAGAGTGATAGCTTTGTCAGTAAGTCTTAACTTATTATTTTTTTATACAATTTTATTTCTATCATTTTTATATATTTGTATGTAGGTCCTTATTGATTAAAGTCTGAAGGTTCTAAGAGATAATGTTAATAATGCTGTGTAGCAACATAGTAAGGATATTAACTTTGATGAAAAAATTCCTGTTATTATTTTTCATTGTATAATTTATATTATTAATAACTATTAGTTTACAGATTTCATCACTAATTTTGAGAATAAACATTGATCTGAGGTATTAGCAGCTATTCATTTCTGAATTCACAATAAATGTGAAATCTCGAGAACATATTTTTGTGTACTCTTTTGACATATAATGAAATTATATAATTTTATAAATTTTTATGCAAATTTAATTTACAAATTTATGAAATTTATTTTTAAATAATCCGTTCTTTTTTCCATTTAAGCATCTCGATGCAAAACCTTAGGCAAAATTTAAGTACAATTCCAGGCAAAATTAGGCATAAATTAAGGCATATATTTTTCAAATAAAATTCTGAGCAAATTTAGGCATAATTCCAGACAAAATCAAAATTTATTTTCATGCAAAATTTTGGGTAAAATTAGGTGTAAATTTAAATTTTATTTTCAAGCAAAAATAAATATAATTCTGGATGCAAAACTTTAGACAAAATTTAAGTATATTTCCAGGCAAAATTAGGCTTACCCATTGTTTCGCATTAATTTTCATAGAATTTAATGAGAGATACCGATATAAATTACAGCAAGTTTCTAAAGAATCTTTGCAAAAATGCTAATTTACCCTCCTTAGACCTTAGCTATAATCAACTTGGACCTGGGTGTAGAAAAACATTAGCAGATGCTTTTTACAATAATAGTAATTTAGCTTTTTTAGATCTTGGCTATTCACTTGAAGGAAAAATGATCATTTTTTTAGGAAAGTCACCAAAGAGTAAAGTTTTATTAAATAATAAAAGTTATCAGCAAATATTTTAATAGAATAAAGTAGTATTTTTATTACTAATATTAAAACTGCTCTGAATTGTTTTTTAATTAAATTTATCAATAAACACAAATATTTATTTTAATAAACAGAATTTTATAATCAACTGTATTGTATATTAATAGAAATATTTATTCATTCTTAATACTGAATCAAGTTCAAACATAGGGTATATTTTTCAAGCAAAATTCTGGGCAAAATCAATCAAAATTAAGTATAATTCCAAGTAAAATTTGGTATAACTAGAATTGTAAAATTACTGCGATTTTATATAATTGGTTTTCATATCTCACCCTTATTGACAAAGAGAGAATTGTAAATTTTTTTTTATATAGTTAACCAACCAATAAAAAATCTTCATTTAAAAGCAGATGTGCTTATAAGATGACATTCATATGTTACAAAGATCAAATTTAATATGTAAAGAAATTATTAATGAGGCTATTTTTATTAACCTCACTCTAATTTTTTTTTGTCAGAATGCCAAGGATCATCTTCAAAAAAGAATATTATTATTATATTTTTAAAATATTATTTTTAAAAAATATATTAAATATATTATAAAAATATATTATATATAGGGTGTGGCGACCTAGTGAAGTGGTGGGGTTGCTGCACCCCCAAGTGGCAGGTCTAGAGTTCGAATCCCACGGA